CGGGCTGCGGCTGGCCTCAGACTGCTCCTTCCACAGCAGCACGCGGTTCTGGAGCATCCCCCGGGCCTGGCCGGGTGGGGACACGGGAGTCAGCCAGGTCCGGACGGCTCCCTGAATCCTGGGGACCCAAAATGGCACCCTCGACCTGAGAGCTCAGGCCCTACCCGCTCAGGATGACCGGATTTCCTAGCTGGAAGGAGCCAGAAGCCAGCTCACCATCCAACCCACACCCTCCACTTTTAAAGGTGCCTCCATTTTCCACGAAGAGCTTCCCCTTACCACCCCCCACCCCCGCCTCGCCTTCCCCCTCAGTGTCTGTGCTTTGAGCGGGGCTGTCCTCACTGCCCAGCTTCAGGGGTAGGGGTGGCACCCAGGCCTGGCCACTCAATCGCCCCATCCTCCTGCCTGCAGCCATAGGCTCAGGAATGGCGCTTAGCTAGAAACTACGACCAAAGAACCCAGGTTAGTGCATGCCTGTATCAAAACACCTCGTGTACTCCATAAATATATACACCTACTGTGTACCACAAAAATTAAAATAAACGGTGAGTGAGAAGAAACACTGCATACAGTTTCAAAACCATCAAAGAGGCCATGGGAAAATTTTTAAAAATATGTTTGCGAAGTAGAAAAGCCATTCTAAGTATGATACCAAACCCATGAACTCGAAAAGACTGATAAATTTTACTAAATAAAAATAATGTTTTTGTATGGCAAAACCAACCGTAACACAAGCAAATGACAAATGGCAAACTTGCTGTCATATTTGCAACTCATCACCAAGAAAAAGCTGGTTTCAGTAACATATCAAGAGCTCCTACAAATTAATGAGAAAAGTGGATGAAAAGATACTGGCATGTCACAGCACAGAAAATCCAATGGCTTTGAAACATGAAAAGATGTCAAGCTCGCGTTTAAGACAAGTATGAGGTAAAGCCACACCGAGATACCATTTTTGCCTTTCAGATTAGCCAAGATCAGAAAGTTTGCTCATACACTGTTTTCAAGGGTTGCGGAAGCACAGAAACTCATACGTCACTGATGGAAGTGTAAATTGGTGCAACCAATGACTGTATTCTTGGGCTTACCAATTCCACTTCTAGGAATCTATCCTGGAAATACATTTGCACAGCTGCAGTAAACCAGAGAAGCTAAGGATGAGGTGGGAAGGCACGTTATTGACTAGACTTGGACTAAGCAAAGACTAATAATTGAAGATGAATAAAAAAGGCAATTTACCATGCCCAGGCACCTAGAGTTCTTTAAATCTTTTTCTAAGGGTGCTTTTTTTT